TCCCTGGCTTTGCTGCCACAGCTGCTGAAAACAGCTGCTGCAGAGATCAACCTGTTCATTCTAATTTATAGAAGACATTCAGGAGCAGTTTCCCACTCCATTAGTTCTTAGCATAATGTCGAAATAGAATACGAGACAACAAATTTAATTTTTTACTTTTGTTTCATGACATAGGTAGGGTCCTTTGGGCCCAGCAAAGGAGGAGTAGAGGCATACCTGTGTTAGGATCATAGTAAAAACATGCATGGCCCTATGTCTGGGAAATTATTTCTTCAGAAGAAACCTGCTGACCTCGTTGTTACACACTGAATGCTAGCATTTGGCTTATCAAATGTCTGGTTGCTTTCTGTCTTCTGTAAGTGGAAGGATTCTGATTTTGTCTTTGCTACTCCATTTCAAAATCTTGTTTTCTTAATATGCAATATGCTACAAGATAAAAATAAGTTAATGTCCAGGACTATAATGCAATAGCAAATGGTAAATGTCCTATTGTTTTGTACCTTCAGTAGTTTGCTGATGCTGTCTTGCTCTAGTGGATACTGTCTGAGAGGTTATGTGCAATACTTCTACAAATGGACGATAATATGAAAAAAGCAGAGATACAAGAAGTAAAGATTTTGATGTTTGGTTTTAAGTTTCATTAGACACAGGAAAGTCTCCTCTGTATCCTGAAACAAGGGAATTGAGTCTGGTTTTGCCTAGCAGTGGCTGCTTACAAATGTCAAGGCAGAAAGCAGACCAGTTTTCACTAAAAGCTGAGAAAAACAGGGACTGAAAGGAAAGAAGAGGTTTTTTATCACTTACTGTATTCCTAGAGAAAACTTGTCTAGATAATAAGGTCACATGGTAGACAGGAAGTAGTTGATATCTGTAAAAAGAGATCAGAACTTTATGTATGTTTTATACATGGTGTACAACTGCCTGAGCTGTGAACTTGGTAGCTGTGAGTAATGGTTAAGATTAAAACTGCTCTCTCCTTCTCTTCTTGTTGACTTTTAAGAGTGAAACAGACTTTTTCTGCTTTTTCTGTCTGTATTCATCATTCTCTCTGTTGATAAATATTGGCTTGCTCTCTTAGATGAGGAGAGAGATGTCAAGTTACTGTGATAGCGAATCTGATGTACATACATATTCTGAGAGAATAAATAGCCTCTTTATAGAATAAAGAGTCCTTCAGTCTAAAGTATCCTACAAGGCAGATTTTGTCTTTTATGTAGATGGGGACATGAAGAGGAAGGCTTCCATACCTAAATTTTCAAATTAATCTAAATGGTCATGAGTTATGAAAATGAGAGGTAATGTGTCAGACCCAGTAGAGTCTGAAGAAAATTTGCCATTAATTGTAGTGGTCCAATGTCCTTACACTACATCTTTCTACTCTTTCACTGCTATATCATTATTATTACTCTTTCTCGTATACATAGAGAAATTACTTTGTTAGCCTCTTACTACTATAAGGAATGTTTAATACTTAATTCAGTGTTTCAGTAAAAACTAAAACTTTTAATAAAGCTTTTATTCCCTATTAATATCTTGCAGTTTCTCTACTAATTTTTCCTTTAGCATATCATATCTAATATCATGTAGGGTTTTCTGTCTGTTTTGTTTGAGGATATATGGTGCTTATAGTCATGTCTCTTCTAACTCAGGCAGAAGTGGCCTTTTGGAAGGTTAGTATTGCAGTTTATATCGACTTTGCCATTTCATAATGTCTAATTCAATTAATTGAGCAATTGTGATTTAGGGGGCATTTTCTAACTACGTTAACTTTTGCTTTTTTCCCCCTCAAAACAGGCATAAATAAAAGGTTCTCATTTGTGTCTATTTTTCTTTAGTTGGCAGAAGTATCTTCCTCTCTATTTATTTATTTATTTTCCGAGAAGTGGGCATAAATAACTTTGGTTTCACTAAAACTCTCCCTTCAGGGCTATTTCAAGGCTTCCCAGCAGCACACACAGAATTAGATTTTCATGTTCAAAGGATCTCTAAGGAGGCAAAATTAAATTATGCAACAGAACAGAAAAATTAGGGAGTTCTGGGAAAGGAATGAAGACCGTGAGAGGATAACAGAAAACAGAGTGGTCTGGGTTTGGAGTTTTATGGGTTTGTGTGACAGTCTGAGGTCTGTGAGTTGATTTGTAGATCTTTCTGTATCTCGTTTTTCTCCTCCTAACGCATTCCTCTCCCCAGGCTGTGCAAACCTGGTCTTATGAAATTTGGGGGACTTGTGCTTCCTATTTCTCATACAGCTGTTAACTCTTTCCCTGCTCTTTGCAAATGCAGCTCTCTTTCCCCGCAGTAAATCCAATGTATCTCTTTGTGCCTGTTTTCTGGGAAGAACAGGGCTTCTCATAGTGGGGGTGGGTGAGAAAATGATAGCAATAACTGTTTCTTGACCCTTCACATAGGTTTTCCCTAATGGTTCCTTTTTAGTGCTTTATCAGTAGCAGAAATCTGAGCAAGACGAAAATTCAGTATAAGTAATTCAGTATAAGAGCTAACCCTACTCTGCAGTAGTCTGTAAATTAGCCTGTATCATGTTCATACCTTGATTGTCTACTGGCACGGGAGTACCAGTTAGTTTATTCCAATAGTGTGTGTAATGAACTCTGACACTGACTGATCTTTTTTTGAGTGATCAGGAGATCTGACTGTATAATATTTCCTACTTCTCTTTCATATCAACATTAAATTTCTGTGATTCTCAGTCTATCTTAGGCTATTTATATAGAATGCATCTAATGGAAATAATAGAACTCTCATTCTGCTTGTGTATTTTTCCCCTATCATTCAGTAATTATTTGGTATGGGTTTTTTTCACTCTATTCCTGAAATGGCTAAATACTCATATGTTCTCCCTTCAGTGATTCAAATATATTGAATTTCATTATTCATCTTCCTTTAGTTGTGTTGAAAAATTCTTACTGATGAGTGTGTAATTTTTTCCTTTAGAAGGTACACTGACGTTTTTCTGTGACTTTTGTCTTCATTCAGTTTCATTGGCTTGTAAGGTCACAGCTAATATTTATTACCTACTTTCCTGTGCCGAGCACTGCTGCAGTTCTTTGCTTTTTGCTCCAGGGGGCAAGAAGTGCTTTATTCTCTGGTACAGCAATTCTGAGATTTAAAATATAAACGTAGAGCAGCCACCATGAAAGATGGCGTCATAAATAGAGAGGAAAGGCTTGTAGTCTGCTTCCTTTGTCTGTGCAAATACATAGCAATAATAGTCTTTCACAACCCACACTCTGCAAAATTAACCCAATCCTTTTAATAATCAGTGTGAGAATATTGGTTGCTATGGCAACACATTCTGTGGTACTACTTGAGTGTCAAAATAACCTAATGAAATATCATGCTAAGAATGTTTCAAAATTGACTTTTAAAATAAAAAGTAAATAAAGCCACCTAACTGTAGAAGATACGGCTAGATTAATGAAATCTGCAACAAGGGAACAACCATTTTCTAACCAAGGGGAATCAGAGTAGTGGAGATGGATATATTGTGTTTCTCATCTTTGGTGAGCAAGCTGAAATAGAATTTAGAACTATTTTCCATGATTCAGTTAATGGTATACCAACCACACCTGTGTTAAGAAGTTACAGCAAGAGTCAAAAGTTAAATGATCCTCAGATGTCACACATTTAAGTCAGTGCCTGTCTGTGTGGTGCTTTGCTTCTGTTACAGTTTCCATCAGCTTGTGTTCATCTTGAGAACTGCTGCTGTTTCTGTACTTCTTTCCCCTCTACTTTTCTTTCACTTCTCCATTCCCTTCCTGGCAGCAGACTCCATGCATTTATTTATTCTGTTGGCTAAAATAATCCACACTTATGTGTTGGGGTTTTGAAAATTATTTTTATATGGGGCTCATAGCGGTGTTTTAGAGTTGAGGTTAATAGTTGTGGTCAGCCATTGGCTCAAACAGCGTTATTTTGGTCGAACAAAAATCCAGCCACTTCTGAAAGAAGCATTCCTAAAGACAGCATTTAGTATCTGAACATCAGGTAGGCTTCTCGAGCAGCTGTCAAGCAGGCTAGAACAGCTATTGCCTATTCCAATTTAAGTATGGGCAAAGAATTAAGATGTAAAATTTACTTTTTTTTAACTTGTAATAATTTTCTTTGACATGAGATTTTAAAAATCATTTATTGCTGGGTTAACTTTCCTCCTTCTCCTGAAATGAATAAAAGTTGCTCCTGTAATTCAGTTGGGGTGGACTATCCTGTGTAGCAAAATAACATAAATATATGGAAACTGTTATATCTTTCTACTTCTCTGTCTTAGAAAATTAGGGTACTGGTTTGAGCAAAAATCAGGATTTTCCCCCTTATCACTGAGGCCAATATGTAAGTCACAATGTTCACATCTGAATGACTTTTCGTGATACCTTTCATTCCTTTCAGACAATGAAGCAAAGTAAGACATTTTTAAATACATTTTTTGCCTACAAAATAAGCTAACACATTTATTATTGATAAATACAAAATAAAAATCAAAACCTCGTATTTTGATTGATTTAGTCCTTTTTTTTTTTCTGCAAAAACCTTGGACTCATACAGGCAAGTGTAGTACAGCTGTACTTTTCTGAACACAGTAAAAGTGCTGAAATAAGATCCTCTCATATTTTCTTTCTTGGGGATTGTATTTTATTTTTTTAAATGTTAGTTTTTGTTCACTGTGGAATATCCTAAACTTAATGGTATTACAGCAAATTTTAAACTAAAATGAAATAAAAATTGCCAATTTCTTGATAATAAAGACAATAAATACATACTTTTACTGTGTATTATGTTCACTCATCTTTAAAGTATAATTGCAGATAGCTCAATGTGCACCTTCCTTAGGAAGTGTGATTTTCATACAGCATTTTAACAGTTGAGTAGGAACCTTGTATTAAAATAGCAGTTTATCTTTTGGAATTTATAAATGGAACATTCTTAAGTTCTTTTCATTAAGTAAAAGGTTTCTTTACAACATATGAGTATATTTAATTTTAAAGTATTGTTTTTTAATGCACAGAGACCTTCTTCAATGCGTTTATCACCAAGGGAGGAAGATGATGATGATGCAGGTGAAAATACATGTGGTCCTTCAGGTTTATGGGAGGCACTGACACCGTGTAATGGATGCAGGAACCTCGGATTTCCCATGCTTACACAGGTATATATTTACCTTCTCATCAGAAAACTTTATAACTATGAAAGAGCTGCTTAATCTTTGCCTTAACTCTTACAGTCATGTCTAGTCTTGCCTCATTCCCTTCAAAATTTTTACCTTCAGTCTTCATTTTAATGTCAAAATCTGGTTCTAAAATTAAATGTTGAGATTTGGTCATCCTAATGTAATACTTATCCAGATGAGTTTAATATTGAGACTGCTGTTTGTTTCCCCTATTTTAGATATCTAATTGCTGTGTTGGATAGCCTTCTTTTCCATCTGAAAAGAAATTTGAAGTCATACAGTTTCCTTTTGGATAAGTGCTCAGCTTCTAATTGATATAATGACATCTGAGCTACTTTCTTTATAGAATTGGGGACTTCGTGCTTAACTCAGCTGATGTAAGAATATAGCCTAAGACTTCTCTTTGAAGATTATATAAATTAAAAAAGAAGTCCCCAAACATTTTCAAATGCTCATGATAATACAGAAGAGAATAAATAAAAGTAGGTAATATACTTGGGTCTCAGTTGTAGCAATTCTCAGAGCAGACCAGCCTGCAGTGTCCACTGAAGCCTTCCAGCAGCTGTGTCCTGAACAAGTGATACTGTATCGCTACAGAACAGGATGATGCTTATTGCTGCTTCTAGGGTCTCCCTTGTTCTCTCCCTCCACTATAATTTACTACTCTCCTTTCTGTAGCATTTTTCCTCCGCTTTTTTTGTAGTATTGAATGAAGACCTGCCAAATTTCGGCTTAGCAGTCTGGTTTTTTTCAGTTGCATCCTTACTTGGCACTGCATTTAAATAGCTTTGTCAGATTCTTGTGTACCAGATTGGAATTACATATCCTGTCTCACCACACTTTATACACTGTTGCTTTCATATCGTGACTGTACCTTTTATTCCCTTTAAGTCTTATGGGACTTGCACCTGTTTGAAGTCAATGCTAAAGCTTTCCCTGCAGTCAATGGAAACAGGATATGGCAGCTAATGTGCTTGAATAACAATGAGCACTGCCCTGTCTTTTTATAAGGAGCTTTTATATTCCTTTCCCCTTTCAGTAGCTGTTTTCTACTTCATACTATCCATCATTTTAGACATTTGGCAAAGTGCAGAGCTGTCGGAATTATCCTGATTTACAATAGGAGTGTTATAGTTAGTAATTTCTCATTTTTAAGCATTTGTTTCAAAACATATTTCCTAAATGGAACTTTTCTTCTTTAAATATGTATCCCCTATGGTTTAATTATTGCTAAATTTTCTTATGATGAAAATGCATTTTCATGTGATTTCCTAATTTTAAAAAATGTTTTTGTTTTCCTTGTTTGTTTTTAATGTAAGATATATGTAAAGGGTGTTATAAAACTGAGAAATGCCCTTGAAAAATAGAATCAAGCTAGCTTGATTGGTTGGTTTCTTTTTCCTATATATAAAGCGAGATTAATTTCAAGAACAATGTAATTTGTAAGGTTGTGATTCCTGAATTAGTCTTATTCATTGTACTTAAATTTTAAAGTCAACCTGATGATATCTCATCTTCCTTGCTTTCAGAACTAATTAGATTTTTAGTTATAGGTACAAAAAAGATTTTTTTAAAGATATTTATTATGTGTTCATTCATGATATGGCAGATTGCCTTTCTAGATTGTTTCTATCCATAAAAATTGAAGACAGAGATAGTTTGGTCTTTTGTTGATTTTATTTCTAAGAGAGAAAGGAAAGAAATTAGGTAGTGAAAAATCTCCAAATTAAAACCCAGTGAATTTAGTTTAGAAAGCGTTGCCATCACTGTATGCAGTCTTTCAAGCTGTTAGCTAATCTGTTGGATCTTTCACATTTACTTCAGAATGCAGCAGAGAACATCTTGTTCTAAGGGGTTGAGAACACAAAGTATATACTTCAATTTTTGGATTAAGAACAGTATGTTGAATTGGTCTAAGAAATTATGAGATACGATGTGCAACAGCATGTTTTAGGTAAAAGTACAAAAATGTGTTTCTGATACTCATGCCAGTGCTCTAACATATCAGAAAGTGCAGACTTCATCATGAAGAAGCAATGAGATAAGGGTACTTGACATTATGCCTTAAAATCCATACTCTCCTTAAGATCCAAGAATAGGGAAGAATGTCTGTCCATTACTCTTGAACACAAATGACAAGTTTTACACTTTTCCTTTATTTAAAAATAGATTTTACTGTTATATAAATGTATTGTGTTTGCACATCAAAGGTGAGCAAACGTAAAAATTGAATCTTGCTTTGTATACACAGAGGCACAATGATAAAATGAAAGTGAGTTTTAGGTGAGATTATGAAAATGTCCATCTGGGACATAGTGAGCTAACAGTTTTCAATATGACAAAGAAACAGGGCAGTTACCTCCTTGACAAACTTGGTTTCTTTATTGCAGTCATGGAAAAAAGCTTGTCTGGAGGTACTTCTGGCATACAGCATGTCATTGCTGTCTCTACTGTGCTGGGAAGTGTCATTTTAGCAAGGGCTGTTATAGAAAATTCTATGTAAGTTATTTTGCAGATATCATTTCTAACCTGACATAGCAGTTATACAGGTATTCTCAGAACAAGCTACTCTCTTCTACAGTCTCACAATTGGTGAAGTCCTGAAAGAGCTTGATGGAAAATCTTTGTGTCTTTTCAAAATGTCAGAGTTTTATAAAGTGCCCAATTCTATGTCAAAATGGACTGAACAACTAGTTTCATGCACCCCCCAAAAGAAAAAAAAGTAGAAGAAAAAATCCAGAGAGCAAGGATACGCAGCTGGATTTTTGGAGACTGAAGTTTAAATATATCTTCTTATTTTAGCAGAGGGTTGAATTCCATTTGTAGTTTATGATTTAAGGTTAATATGGAGGCTGTTGCTTTTTTCTGGAGTTAATCTTTGGTTCTGGGCAGAAATTCCATCCTTGCTAAAACTGATGCACGTTTTTGTGAAAAATTTTGTCTTCCAGAGATGAATATTTTACATCTGAAAAATAACCTTTCTCAGGAAATTCCAGATTATATGTTTTCTGGCTCTCAGTCAGTACAAAAGAAAAACTATTTTATCACCTGCATAACTGAATAATTATCTTCTACACATTCCAGAATTTCCAGTAGTCTTAACTCTCAGCACAGTAAAAACAGTTTTAAAAACTTTCCAAGATGTAAAACCTCAAAAGTGCTTCTAAAGAACTTTCAAATTCTAATATTGCAGGCTCTCTTGGAAATAGTTTGCTCTGAAATGACATGTCTGTTAAACTGAGAGAAATCTTTTATAGTGGTATGATAGTACTAGAGCCTCTTCCATGGATCTCTAGTTCATGTAAAATCTTCCTACAGTAACTAACAAGAGTTTTAATGCTTCAGTGGTTGCATTTCTGCCAGTCATAAATACTGTTGAATATCCTTTCTGTCCAAGAGCTAGAATAAAAGAATATATTTCATATATCATTTTTCTTCAGAGTAGTCACAAAAATAAGACTTATGTGGCAAAGTATATTTAGCTGGAGAGATTTCACTATGCTGTAGGTAAGTATGGGAAAGAAAACGGGGATATGATCCTTAAAAAAACTTCTTCTGCAATGGCTACTAATGATAAAAAAAAAACCTGGAAGCATTACAGTGTCATCACTATTGACCATGTTCAAATGAGGACAGTTTAGTCAAGAAACTGATAATTCAATGAAATATAGAATAGGAAAGTTTAGAGGTAGAAATAGAATAATCAGCTTAATATGTGCATGCGTATATAGTTATTGGGATGTCCAAAGAAACACAGACTGCTGTAACAGAGTTTTGCAGATAATTGGGTTGATACAGTAGCTTTGGTTAGTCAGTCAATGGAGTTAAGTTTCTGTCCTTACAGTGGCGAGAAGAGCAAATTTAGGTTGAATAAGGACAAGATAGAATGAAAACTTCAGAGTTTCACATTTGCTGCTTTATTCAAAGGAAAAAAGGTTTAGTAAGTGGATGTTGTCAGGGCTGGCAACGCCCTGGGAGTGATGGTGTCAGGACCCACAGGGGCTGCCTGGGGTGGCAACACAGTTCCTCACCATCCGGAGGATCCCTCACTTCTCCTGTGAGGGAGCAGGGCAGGCTTGTGGGGGGAGCAGCTTGGGGCCACCCTGAGTGCAGTACATCAGGCAAGTTTGTGATGCTCAGGCAGTTCCCATGTCAAGCCAGAAAGTCAGTCCATATACTGGGGTTGGGATCAGGACTGGTAAGGTTAATCAGGAACCGGGAGTAGATCACCAGGATGTCTATGGTGATGAGGTAGGCTGGGAAGCCAGTCAGCAAGTCAGGGTCCAGATCACTGGGGTCCCTGGATCAACACAGGCAGAGTTAGAGATGAGCTCTCATACACCTTGTTCAGCCAGGAACTGAGGGGCCGAGGCTGAGGTAAAATGAGACTGCTTGGGCCCATGTGCACAGTGTGGGTAAGGGCACCACGTGAGGTTATTCAGGGACAGTAAGAATTATTGCTGCACTCAGCACTGTGACAGATACTGATAAAAGCAAGAAAATACGTAAACTGGAAGCTGAGTTGAAATATGGTTCTTACTTGACCTGTTATTGCAGCAAAAAAGAGTAGGACCAAGAAGGAACACTTACTGATGTACTAGATTGCTTTGTATGCGCTTCATATACAGATTCTCCATATATGTGTGAACGTATTTCATCTGCATTTAGCTGTGTATCTTGGCTGACATTTGTATAGACAGAGTATTCCAACACAGAAATATTCCCAATGGAGCATAATACAAGAGCAGACAGGTTTGGGGGAAAAAAAAAGGTTTACATGTCTTGTGATGGTCTAGCTATGCATTACCAAACTACAGGAGCAATTCTGGTAACAGTAGGGCATGTGTGGTAGTTTGGTCGAGGCCTTCCTTGGTGACCAGTTTGTAACCAAGGAAGGGCCCATATTTACCCAGTATTCCCTACGATTTTTACGTAAACCGGGCTATAAGAAGAAAGGAGGAGAGGCCTTCGGTCTCTTT